TAGCAAACTGAATATTCATACACTTTTTGAAAAAAACTACAGAATAAACATGATTATTTATATATTCATTCGCTTGTTCGCCCTTTCGATGATTCATTTCTTTAGTTTGCAGTTGCATTTCAGTTTGTTTATTGTAGATATTTTTTGTCGTCAAAGTCGCTCAAAATGCCTCGAATCCTACGTCATATGCATCTCAAGGAAGTGATAAATGTAAATAAAACACTCTAGAAGCTTCAGATCCGCAAGAATTAAGATTTTTGGTCGATTTTAAGCAGTTTTTCAACCACCACGACCTTTAACCGACGATGTCTTCCTTATTATCGACGATTTTTTCGAAAGTTTCATATATCGATAGATTTTTTGGAGAAAAATCGAATCTCTTGAAAAGCCTTAAATCCTACATCAGCTCTATAAAGAAGACGATTTCGACATCCATCCTCCGCTTCGTGTCCGAAATAATCGACATTTTTTGACAAATTTAAGCGCTGACGATAAAATCCCCAGCACTTATTGGGTGTACAATACAATGAAAAAATCGACCTCTACGATTTTTTCACAAAAAGTCGCTCAAAACGCCTGCAATTCTTCATTATATTCATCTAAAAAAACCGAGGAATGGAACGAACTCATTAAAAAACACTGTAGAAGCTGAAAACGCACATTAGTAATTTTTACTTTTGAAAGGCAATTTCTGCATAAATTAATCATAAAATTATTGAACATTCACATTCACAATTTCTACTTGAAGTTTTGTGCTGTCCATTGCAAACTTTGCTGTTGTTCTAAACTTTGAGAGCAAATTGTAGACAATTTTTGCTATTTATAATCGAAAAATCGATGACTTAAGCACATAAATCGTGTGACAGATTTCCGAAAATTTGCTAGTCGCTTATTTTAATTCGTTAGTCAAGAGCACCTACAGGCGCCTATCGGACGTATGGGATCAAAGCTATTTTTAGACAAATCCGATCCAAGTCGCCTATTAATTAACCTTTTCGAAAACATTGCATATTGCATATGCGGAAGCCGTCAATGTTGTCAATCATCTATTTCCATTTCCATTTGCCATTTTCACACTCTCTGCGCCATCAGGATCAGTCAATACCGCTACCAATTAATAAAACTTGCCTAATAAATAGGCTACAATGTGCTACAATGTGTTATTCCGTAAATATTATTATCTCTACTTGCAATAGCTTAACGGTTTTTATTAATCACTTTATTTGATGTTGGGTTTCTTTGGGATGGTTTGGATTATTTTATGTTCAGTTGAGTTCGTTTCGCACAACACAAAGTGGCTAAACTAGGCAGATGTTCCAAAAAAACCAGTTTTTCACCGCGAGTAGTCAACTTTCACTTCAAGCAATTACCATTTTCTATTTGACCGTTGTGTTGAACTTTGTGGAAAATAAAAATAGATTTTAGTAATGATCCTGGCTGTATTTTCGTCATTCTATTCTGCCATCGATTCGTCAGTGAAGGTTTACAGCTTTGACTGTGTGGGTTGGTTTGGGTCAGGTCAGGAAAATAACGATTGTGTTTTATATACAGGGTGTTTATGTGAACGGTTAACAGCATCAGATTGCCGCCTTGCCTATCTATTCTTCGCCAGTTGAAAAACATAGTCTGTCCCACGCTATTTGGCAGTGACGTCATTATTGTTTGTTGCCAACTCGAGCGTTTGTTCCCGATTAATTTTTCTTGGCTCATATCAAACAAATCAGACAAAATCTAAGCGATGATAATGATCCAATCAAAAGTGAAATTTTGACCAAAATGAATCGCTGATCGCCCTCACAATATTTCGTAGGCATTTTCTCCATACTATCGCAAATTGTAAAAATTTGCCAAAAGTCATGCGTTTAACATCAAATTTCACGCTCGGTGGATAAGTAATAGAAAAAGAACCAGAATTATTGCGTCACTGCCAAAAAAATTGGGACACTTCTTCTTTCAACGCCCGGAGCTGAACAATATCAGTTTTCATTGCTCAAAACACGAAAATTAGGCGGGTTTCTTCAAATGTTTGATGCTTGAATCACTCAGTATCTTGGGCAAGTTTTGCTTTAATCTAGCAGGAAAGTGGTTTTCTCCACTTCATAGGCTCGAAATAAAACTTCCCAGATATTCGGGCGTCGGCCAAAACCCAAAAACCGTTTAAGGTGTGCGTAATAAACTGGCTGAAAATGCATGCACACACGTCTTTTTGTCGTTTATTGTTCTGCTTTTATTGTCCGTGACATATTTGTGTTTGTTGCAGTGGGGTGGCCGATATTGTTCCTTTTCCTTTGGGGCAATCCGTTCCATCGGGGGTTCTTCTGCGATGACGACAGCATTCGGCATCCCTTCCATGAATCCACCGTGCCCAGTTGGACCCTCTATATTACGGGATTTGGGCTCAATCTCATCACGGTGAGTTTGAAATGAAAAATTGAAACAGGAGCTGAGTGATCCAGCAATGTAAATTACCTGCGGATTTTTAAAATTTTTGCATGTTTATGGCCTTAGACATGCGATAAACATCCTAATTACCCATTTGACTTATGTGGTAATTGCAAGTAATTGGAGATTTATTGCGCAGCCTTAAGGCTAGTAAATCAGTGGCGGCCCCTTAAAGAATTGGCTCGTAAATGGGGCACGATTTGTACGAGAAATTTTCATTAAAAGTTGCCCCTAAGCCTCTTTAGCCGCCCGGCATAAACACCTCGCATGACGCATATTAACTTTTTGTTATTAATTGCTGAAAATATTACGATATCAATGCCATTAGCTGATCGAAATGTGTATCTATTTATAAGCGTGACAATTTTGCAAGTATTAGTTTGGAACTGGCCAACGTGGGTGAGCGTATCGTGATAGGAATAATCGAATTATTTTCATAATCCATAGACTTGAGGACGATGAGGGGCCGTTTTATGCCCCCTTTCGTGTCTTTCATCAGTTGAATCAAATCACATCAAATCAAAATATGCTTTATTGCCAGAGAAGTTTTGCACAAGCATATTATCAATTGAATCGTCATCAATTATTGAATAAAATGCTTGAAATGGTGCATCATTTTGATCGAGAAAGCGACAAAAGCAACGAGCTTACTGAAAAACACGCTTTCGATCCGAAATAATTCGAGATTTTTGGTCGATTTTAACCGTTTTTGGAATCGCCACTCTTTAATCGCCGATCTCTTGCTTGTTATTCACTCAAACAGTTTTTTATAAATGCATATCGAGGAGCTTCTTAGGTCGGAATGAATCCATTGAGCCCAAAAAACACACTTCTGAAATTTTGATTTTTGATCGCAAATTTTAAAACGGGTGGACGTCGATTTTTTTTACAAAATATAGTCGCTCAAAATGTCTCGAATATCATGTTCATCTCAAAGAAGCGAGGAAAGCAACGAGTTGTTTGTTGCAAAACTGTCCAATCTATACTCTGTAATCTGTGGTCGATAGTCAGTTGCTGGATATTTTGCGCAGTTTGGCAACACCGCGTGAAATTTATCCTTGAAATGGCAATTTTCCTTAAAGTTTGCGAATGTTTTTTGGCTTAATTTATGGACCCTTCAGGAAAAATTTTCACTGAGAGTGCTTAATTTGAAGTGATCTTTAAGGCACGGATGGACAAAACTAGAAACTCCGAGAACCTCAAACGACACCATCACCCTCGTAAGAGTAAAGATGAACAATTGAAAGCCCTCGATGATTTACGTTTTTCACAAACTATCGAAGAAAGCAACCAAACTTATTCTGAGTATAAAAAAATTCTTCATTTGTTTAAATCTTTTAATGTAAAAAATGGCTGGTTTAACATAACTTTATTTAAGCTTGAATATACACCAGGTCCATGTATAACGTGGGCGATCGTCTTTAATAGTTCTATTAAAATTCTAAGTTTTCTTGTATGGCCAACCTCTTAGCATTTCCATTTGTGGATTAAAAACTGCATTTATTATCAACAGCTTATCTGGGCAGATTTCAAACAGATCCTTTGGAAAATCGTTTTGGCAAATTTAGACAGTTAGCTGGACTAAAAACTAAAAAGACACTAGAAACTTTCCACCCGAAATAATCGTAATTTTCCAACAATTTAAAGCGGTTTTCAACCGGCGACGATAAAATTCCCAGCGTTTATTACGTCTGTTAGCAAAACACATTTTTTTAAATTATAAAGCGGCTTTGAAATCGGATTCAACACATATTTCCTGTTGTTCCTGCAAGAAAAGGTGCCGCACGCCCCTGAATTTTGCATATTTTATTTCAATTTCCATAGAAATAGCGGTTAGCTTGCAATTTGCCTGCAAAGAGCAATCTAAGCTATTGCCTGCTGGCGGTTTACCTTATTCAGAGCGAATTTGATATTATCAAGGAGTGTTTCGCTGGTTTAAAAAAACAACAAATTGCAAGCTTTGGAATTGGATAAATTGCAAAAAATACTCAAAACTGTTTCTTATTTCCTTTGATTCGCACAGATGCGTAGAACATGTGTAGATCTCGCTAAAAAGCACACATTTTGCAAGATTATGAGCAAAAACTAGACATTTTGTGTTCACTGTTCACGTTCAGACTATGTAAGTGGCAAAGTTATGCGAACATTAATCAAATGAACATTAAAAAGTAATTATTCAAGCGGCTACAATGCGGAATCGTGATTAATGATCCAGTCCCTCATTTCGATTTTAATGCACTGAGAGATTGCGATTTGCAATAAGAAAAGCCAATAAAAATCCATTGATTATGCCACTTTGGGTGGGAGAATGCCATGCAATTACAACCTATATTGGATGGATGAGAAATTAAATAAACGTGAATTTTTTCACTTGAAATTTCGCATTATGTTACGTGGGGGTTTTGAAGGAAGTCCAAAACTCATTTTCAGACACTTTCAGACTTGTTTGTTGATCCCACAAACGTTGTAAATTTAGGTCCAGTTAATGCGAAAACAATGTTCAGGTTATTAGCCTAATGCAGTTTTCCTGTCCAAACCAGCGCATAAATTTCCAGATGCGCTGGACTTAATCCAAATGCTGAATAACAGAGCAATTCTGGCCATCAAACGTCGGTAAGTTTAACTTTTATACCGAAAAGTTACT